TCCGTGTCATGGCGAAGAGTTGATCTTTGACGCCACGCCACGGACACGCCCATTGACGAAAACTTGCAAATAGCACAACTTTTCATCTTCCTTCCTTCCTTCCTTCCTTCCTTCCTTCCTTCCTTCGCACGGTCGTGCTCGGGCCCTAATTAACTCCTCCAAAGCCGCAAGTCCGATCGACACGAAACTTGGCACGGACCATCTCTGGACCAAGCCGAAGAAATTTTGTAGAGGGAATTTGATCTGCCAAAAAATCTCCCAATTGCAAGCTAACAAATATTTGCGAAAACGCGACAAACATGAAGTATAACATATCTCTGGCTTGGAAAGGCCGATCAACACAAAACTTGGACCTTATGTGGCATGCCCCCCTGAGGAGCTGTGCAAAATTTGGTACAGTTAGCCCCTAGTTGGCGCTATTGAAAAAAATCACATTGACTTACATGCATTTTATATCTCCATAACCGCAAGTCCCATTGACTCCAAATTTGTGTCAATTCTTCCCCATGGGCCTCTGATGACACCTGAAAAATTTTGTTCAGTTGGGATTCTAGGTGGCGCTATAATCGAAGCTGAAAGGCCGTGGAAAATCCCATTGAAATGAGTAGGATTTCCAACCATGCCACATTTTACCAACTTTTAGAATGGCGGATCAACACCAAACTTGGGGTCCTTATGCGACACGACCACGGGATGCCCGGGCCAACTCGCGCTCCCTCCGCGGGGGCCTGTAAAGATTTAGTTTTTTTTTTTTTTTCTCTGCAAAGTAAGCTCAACTTTGGGGGCCTAAACATACCCGAAAACTCACCAAACTTTGCACACGTCAGAAGTGGTGAAAAATTTCATATTTTATGGGTTTCGCGCATGGGCGTGGCAAAATGACTCGCTAGCAGCACTTAGAAAATTGGAAAGAATTTGCCCCTCGTTCACGTTCAACCTACATGCACGAAATATTCTGGGGACATGTATCATGTCCAGACGCACAAAAAAGCCTCAAGAACCCATACCCTAAACTCAACAGGAAGTCAGCTATTTTGGATTGAATGGTTTTTGGAGGATTTACACACTCCGTACTTTAACGAACTCCTCCTAGGGATTTAGTCCGACCGACCTCAAATTTCTGCTGTGCCTTCTAAAAGCATTGAAGATGAAAAGTTGTGCCATCTGTGAGTTTTCGTCAATGGGCGTGTCCGTGGTGTCGATGATTCGCCATGACACAGGAAGTTGTTGTAACTTCAGTGTATATGCTCACATCTGAACAAAACTGTACATGTAGGATGAGAGTCCCGCCCTGAACACATGTACATGCCGACATTCACCCACAGTCATAGCGCCACCTGCTGGCAACAGGAAGTGACCTTTAACAAAGCAGCCCCCGCTGCACATTTGACCTACATGTATGAAATTTCTGTGGCACATGTATCATGTCCAGACGTACCAAAAAGCCTCTTGGAGCAATGGTGGCGTCAAAAATCACACAACTCGGACTTCTGCAGATCTGCCGCCCTCTGTTTCACCGAATCCTGGCTCACCCGGCACATCCCAGACAGCGCACTTTACCTGCTGGGATTTAATCTCATCCGTGCGGATTGCGAAAGGGAGCTTACGGGGAAAAACATGGGGAGTTGAAGAAATCACGCAGCCCTAACTTAGAGACATTATTCATAAACTGTAAACCGTTTTATTCATCTGCTGGAACTTTCTTTGTTTATTCTGGTCACTGTCTACATTCCACCTCAGGCCTGTGTTAGTGAAGCGTTAATACACCTGGCCGACCAGATAACTAACGTGGTTTCTGGGATCCACTATATCCCAGGACCTGAAGTGGGAGCCCAACACGGACACCATCATCAAGAAGGCCCAGCAGAGGACGTACTTCAGCTCAGGAAGCTCAACCTGCCTAAGGAGCATTCATTCTGTTCTCTGCACCTCCATCAATGTCTGGTTTGGATATGCCACCAAAAAGGACAGTAGCAATGATACTACATCGGACAGTCAAGACTGCAGAAAAGATCATTGGTGCCAACCTGCCCTCCATTCAGGACTTACACATTTCCAGAGTCAGGAAATGGGCAGGAAACATCACTGCAGATCCATCTTACCCCGGACACAACCTGTTCCACCTCCTCCCCTCTGGTAGGCGCTACAGAGCACTGTATGCCAAAACAAACAGACACAGGAATAGTTTCTTCCCTCAAGCCATCACTCTAATGAACAGCTGATTTCTGACTCACAGTGTCAAGAACAATTCTTGTGCAGTAACCCAGTAGTTCTGTCTTTAATCAGCCACCTGTTTACTGGTTACCACTTATTATTTATTAATCATTCTCTATTTCAGAGCTGTTCATATTGTTGCATTTTATATTGTATATACTGTATACCAAATCCACCTACCTCAAGTAAATAACACCTGCACATAATAATGATCTATTCCAGCTTCCTTTGCACTGTGTACATGTATGTGTACCTGTATATCACATCCACCTCCGACATGTACGTAAAAATAATGATTATAATTATTTACTCCTGCATCCTTTGCACTCTGCTCACTGCACTATTTGTCAATCTGTCTATATTGTTCTGTTTATAGTGTGTATATTCGTGTTCTCCCCGCGATCCTGTACGCAGGATAAGTGGTTGAAGATGGATGGATGGATGGATGGATGAATAGATATTTGTGTTCTCTATTCTGTAGCCTGTGGTCATTAGGGCCCGAGCACGACCGTGCGAGGTCCCTAGTGAATTTGCTAAGATTATATATTTTTTTTTTTTCCGGCAAAGTAGGCTCAAATGACATGGCCTAAACATACTCGAAAACTCACCAAAATTTGCAAACATGTCAGAACCGGTGAAAAATTTCGTATTCTATAAGTTTCGCACATGGGCGTGGCAAAATGACTCGCTAGCGCCACCTAGAAAATTGGAAAAGATTAGCCCCTCGTTCACGTTCAACCTACATGTACGAAATTTTCTGGGGACATGTATCGTATCAAGACGCACAAAAAAGCCTCAAGAACCCATAGCCTAAAGTCAACAGGAAGTCGGCTATTTTGAATTTTACAGCCATTTTTGGATGATTTACACACTTCGTACTTTAACGAACTCCTCTTAGGGATTTAGTCGGATCGACCTCAAATTTCTGCTGTGCCTTCTAAAGGCATTGAAGATGAAAAGTTGTGCTATTTGCGAATTTTCGTCAATGGGCGTGTCCGTGGCGTCGATGATTCGCTATGAAACACGAAGTTGTTGTAACTTCAGTGTACATGCTCACATCTGCACCAAACTGTACATGTAGGATGAGAGTCCCGCCCTGAACACATGTACATGCCGACATTCACCCACAGTCATAGCGCCACCTGCTGGCAACAGGAAGTGACATTTATCGAAGCAGCCCCCGACGCACGTTTCACCTTCGTATACAAATTTTCTGTGGTACGTGTATCTTGTCCAGACGCACAAAAAAGTCTTTTGGAGCAATGCCCTAAAACCAACAGGAAGTCGGCCATTTTGAATTTTACGTCAAATTTTGGATGATTTACACACTTCGTACTTTAACGAACTCCTCCTATGGATTTAGTCCGACCGACTTCAAATTTGTGCTGTGCCTTCTAAAGGCATTGAAGATGAAAAGTTGTGCTATCTGTGAATTTTCGTCAATGGCCGTGTCCGTGGCGTCAAAGATCAACTCTTCGCCATGACACAGGAAGTTGTTGTAACTTCAGTGTACATGCTCACATCTGCACCAAACTTTACGTGCTTGATAACTCTCCCACCCCGCAGACATCTACACGCCAATACCGATTTATATTCATAGCGGCAAGTGCTATGTAGCTCCACATAGGGGACACAGGAAGTGACATATAACACCTTCATGTGGCGTCGGAACCGCGTAGCAAATTCACAGCCATACCGGCAGAGCTCCAGAATGTGCAACTCGACCGGCTCACACCCGGACGCGCTAGAAGTGCGAGGGCCCGCCCAACGCTGCTTGCAGCTTTAATTTTTATTATAGTTTTATTATAGTATTATTGTATGAGTAAGCACATCATTACCAATGTACAATCCAGAATTAAATTCCTCATAAATGTACACATACCTGGCAAATAAAGCTGATTCTGATTCTTCTGATAAGTGTGAATGAGTACCCTGATTCACTTGCACTGGTACACTTATCCACTGCACATACCACTCAGCTGGTTTGGAGAATATTACAGTAGGTAAACATGTTATATATGGAAAGATAGGGAATTGGTGAGTAGTGTCCGACCGTTTTCTAATGAATGGCTGTTTCCAATTGAAAAAGACTTATGAGAATCCATATTTTTCCTAACTCAGTCCTACTCACTGCTCTGAACAGAATTAGAACAAATAAAAACTCCTTTGTGATGATGGACTCCAGTAGACTGACATTAAAGAGAAAATAGACACCCGCAGCGTGTGAGCCGTGTGTCCGTCCAAACCTGAGAGTGTCCAGTCTCCAGTGTGGATCCTCCAATCCAGCAGACAGCAACTTCACCCCTGACTCTCCTGGATGATTGTAGCTCAGGTCCAGCTCTCTTAGATGGGAGGGGTTGGAGCTCAGAGCTGAGGCCAGAGAAGCACAGCCTTCCTCTGTGATCAGACAGCCTGACAGACTGGAATCATGAAAATATCATAAACTCTATGTTTTAGAAAATCATGTCAGCAGGAGAATCCGAGAGACCATTTTCACTAACATGAACCTAAAACCAGATGAGGAGGATTTAAAAGAAACAGCTTTAGACTGACCTGAGAGTTTCCAGTCTACAGTATGGACTCTCGAGTCCAGCAGACAGCAGCTTCACTCCTGAATCCTGCAGGATGTTGTTACTCAGGTCCAGCTCTCTCAGACTAGAAGACTTTGAGCTGAGAACTGAGGACAGAGCTTCACAGCTTCTCTCTGAGAGGTTACAGCCACTCAAACTGAAAAGGGATTAGCAATGGACACAAACTAAATAAATTTTTGGTCAAATAAAAAATTAAGCATTTTTGAAATTGCACATACATTTATCCACCTACAGAGCTTTGTTGGAGGCTTTGACCACTGGCAGCAGCCTCAGAAGAGCCTCCTCTGAAGCAGAGTATTTCTTCAGGTCAAATACGTTCAGATCTTTCTCTGATGACAGTAAGATGAAGACCAGAGCTGACCACTGAGCAGGAGAGAGTTTATCTGTGGAGAGACTTCCTGATCTCAGGTACCATCGAATCTCATTCACAATAGAACGGTCCTTCAGTTCATTCAGACAGTGGAAAAGATTGATGCTTCTCTCTGGAGACAGATTCTCACTGATCTTCTTCTTGATGTACTTGACTGTTTCCCGATTGGTCTTTGAGCTACTTCCTGTCTGTGTCAGCAGACCTCGTAGGACAGTCTGATTGGTCTGCAGTGAAAGACCCAGGAGGAAGCGGAGGAACAAGTCAAGTTGTCCATTTGGACTCTGTAAAGCCTTGTCAACAGCACTCTGGTAGAGATGTGTTAGTTTAGGTTTGTCTCTGAAGACTTTAGAACGACGGGAGGTTGATTTTTCTTCTGCCAGCAGATTGACACCAGAGTTGATGAAGGTCAGATGGACATGAAGAGCAGCCAGAAACTCCTGAACGCTCAGATGGACGAAGCAGAACACCTTGTCCTGGTACAGCCCTCTCTCCTCTTTAAAGATCTGTGTGAACACTCCTGAGTACACTGAGGCTGCTCTGATATCGATGCCACACTCTGTCAGGTCAGATTCATAGAAGATCAGGTTTCCTTTCTGCAGCTGCTCAAAGGCCAGTTTTCCCAGAGACTCAATCATCTTCCTGCTCTCTGGACTCCAGTGTGGATCTGTCTCAGCTCCTCCATCATACTTGATGTTCTTCAGTTTGGACTGAACCACCAGGAAGTGGATGTACATCTCAGTCAGGGTCTTGGGCAGCTCTCCTCCCTCTCTGGTCTTCAACACCTCCTCCAGAACTGTAGCAGTGATCCAGCAGAAGACTGGGATGTGGCACATGATGTGGAGGCTTTGTGATGTCTTGATGTGGGAGATGATTCTGCTGGCCTGCTCCTCATCTCTGAATCTCTTCATAAAGTACTCCTCTTTCTGTGGGTCAGTGAACCCTCTGACCTCTGTCACCATGTCAACACACTCAGGAGGGATCTGATTGGCTGCTGCAGGTCGTGTAGTTATCCAGAGGCGAGCAGAGGGAAGCAGGTTCCCCCTGATGAGGTTTGTCAGCAGCACATCCACTGAGGTGGACTCTGTAACATCAGTCAGGACCTCATTGTTGTGGAAGTCCAGAGGAAGTCGACACTCATCCTGACCGTCAAAGATGAACACAACCTGGAACTCTTCAAAGCTGCAGATTCCTGCTTCTTTGGTTTCAGGAAAGAAGTGATGAACAAGTTCCACCAAGCTGTACTTTTTCTCTTTCAGCACATTCAGCTCTCTGAAAGTGAATGGAAATGTGAACTGTATGTCCTGGTTGGCTTTGTCTTCAGCCCAGTCCAGAGTGAACTTCTGTGTTAAGACTGTTTTCCCAATGCCAGCCACTCCCTTTGTCATCACTGTTCTGATTGGTTCATCTCTTCCAGGTGAGGCTTTAAAGATGTCTTCTTGTCTGATGGTTGTTTCTGGTCTGTCTGGTTTCCTGGATGTTGTTTCAATCTGTCTGACCTCATGTTCATCATTGACCTCTGCAGTCCCTCCCTCTGTGATGTAGAGCTCTGTGTAGATCTGGTTCAGAAGGGTTGGGTTTCCTGCTTTAGCAATCCCCTCAAACACACACTGGAACTTCTTCTTCAGGTTACACTTGAGTTTACGTCGGCACACTGGAGCAGCAGTTCCTGAATGAAGAAACAAGAAATGTGAGTAATAAGTGGATGCTGCAGTAAATCTCCATCCATCCATCGTCAGCCGCTTCTCCTGCAGGGGGGCTGGAGCCAATCCCAGTTTACATCAGGCGAAAGGGTACACCCTGAACAGGTCGCCAGTCCATAGCAGGGCCACACATAGAGAAACAACCACTCACAGTCGCACCTAAGGACAATTCTTTAGGGACACCAATTAATCTAGCCTGCATGTCTTTGGACGGTGGGAGGAAGCCGGAGCAACCGGAGAGAACCCACGCAGATACGGGGAGAACATGCAAACTCCGCTACAGTAAATCTGATAAATGTAAACTTTAAGACATCAAGATGGTATTTATTTTCCTCCTCCATGAAATCTCTTCAGCTCATCAGCTGTGAACAGTTTCTGAGTTTCAGCCCAGAAGAATTCATAGATCTGATCCAAATGTGTGCATCATATTAACAGCAGAGTTTGAAATGGAAACTTCTCCCATGTTGCCTCTATTTCCTCTTTCCATCATGTTAAATCTGTTCAAATCCTCTTACTGCTCTGCAGACGCTCAGCCAGCTCCTCCTGCTTCATTCTCCTCAGGAAGTGCAGTGTGATCTTCAGAAATGCCTCTCTGCTGCTCCTCCTCTGCTCCTCCTCCTCACCGTCCAACACCTCCTCATCCTCCCTCTGAATCTCTAAGCATTCTGGGTAATCTGGACTCAGAACTCTCTGGAACTTCTTCACCTCGTTCTTCACAAACATGACAATGTTTTCCTGGAGCAGCTGGAACAGAAGAAAATGTAAAGTTGAACTGGTAGAAGTCAACATCAGATCATCTGTGACAGACAGAAAGCCTGCTGGTCTGCAGAGTGCAGCATGGAGACTGGATCAGAATGCTGCTTCACTATTTACTTTGTGGCTCCTGTAATTAGCAGTAGTAGCTGAGCTTGTACATTTACACACCATAAATATGGAGTCCAGGTCTGTTTGATGCTGCTGTGCAGACTGACCACTGGGAACCTCTGAGCTCTGCTGATCAACTCTGTGAAGAGCAGAAGCAGAACAGACTACTTAACTGCCTGATAAAGACATAATACCCATTGGATGACAGGAAATCCCTCCATTAAAATGTTTACCTAGGATAAGCTGATGGGTGTCATATGATCTGAATACAACAGGTTAATACATATACCCATCTCTCTTTTTAATCTGAACCCTGAACAATGTGTTCTGTTTGATGACGTGATCACATTGAGTGTATTTACCGAATCCTGTAGTAAGAAACTTAATCACAGCCCTCATAAAAGATGCAGGTTGGGCTGCTAACCCTTCCTGCGTGTTCTAATATAATGAGGAAACTCGTGTTTAAATGAGGAATAAAAATTATGACTTTATTCCCAGATTTTATTTTGTGATCTGAGATTTGTGAATGTGGATCCTGATTTAAAAAACTGCATGAAGGAGCTAATTTATCACTCCACTTTCAATGTTTACATGCTTACACATTCTCAAACCTGCATCCAGCTGTTTGTGGATTTTAACCGTGGTTTTGATATTTTGACTAAGATCTGCAAAATGTGAGACCAATTTGAAAAAAGGTGAAGAGTTAAGAACATGAAGTGATCACAACAAAGACACCAAACCTCATCTCAGGACAGACACAAACATTTGACATGCTGACCTTTGATCAGCAGAGTGGTGTCCACCTTTGAAGTCAACAGATCTGCCCATAGACCAGTCACTCTTGATGGACACACAGCTGGGTCCAGGTCCATGTCCAGGTCCATGTCCAGGTCCAGGTCCAGGTCCAGGAGAGTCTGGTCCCTGCTGCTGCTCTGGGCTTCAACACAACACACACAGAGCTTTGAGAGTGAATAATGATGGTGGAGTGATTTGAGTCCTGGACAGTTAGAGATCCTCATCTCACCTCTGAGCTTTGGTCTGGCTGTCATGTTCCCCACACAGAGTGCTTTTAGAGGGAGGGACTCCCTCCTCTCTGTCCTCACACTGATTCATAGCAGAGCCCACACCTTCACACAAACACAACAACATGCTGAGAGAGCTGCACTCATTCATTACAACAAGCTTTACATCTCAGGACACTTTAGTTCTCCTTCCTCTCAGTAACATGACACAAATATTCAGGCCCTAAACAGGATCTGAAAACCCTAAAATTAGTTGTATGGACCCTGTATGAATTGACCAAAAAGGATATGCACCTCGCCTGGAAAAGGGACACCAGGGCACCCTCCTGGAGCCACACCTGGGAGGAATGGTAATGGTAAAGGAAAGGTAATGGCATCTGGTAACGAGCACCCCAAAATGCGTTACACAGCCCCCAGATTCTGGTTCACTTGTTACCAGGGTAGGTTGCCATGGTAACTGATGCTGAACGGCTGCTGAGGAGGTTATGTTCCAGATAATCAGCTCTCTGGAAAATGACATCACCATCAGCAGGAGATCCCACAGACTGTTTTATAGGCTGCTTTATGTTTGTTGTGGTGATGCTGAGAAACCTATTGTAAAGCAATATCGTCCTACAGAGACTGACTGAAGGAGGCTGCTGAAGCTTTGTGGCCTACTAATTGTAGGTTTTTCAGATATGACAGTAAGACTACTCACCGCTTTGAAATGTGTTTTATTTGCTCCCAAGTCCATTTCGTACGTTACAATTTTTTTATGTGAGGCTGAATATTATGAGCATATAGTTTGGTCGGCCTATTGAAGTTTAGTGTTGAAGTTTAATATGAATGTGTTTCTTTTAGTTTAGTAACTATCTTGTATTATAGAGACTGGTCATGTAGTGCCCCACCTTTGGGGAAGTTTTCAGTAGTCTAAATGTTGAGATTCAGTCTTTGGACCACTACTTCAGCACATTTTATTAGCCTACTTTTTATGGCATGAATGGATTTTTATTTTTTTTATGAAGTTAATATGAACAATGTTTGGACCATTTTTGTGTGTTATATAAATTGATCTGATGTCTGAAGTGACGAGACATTCTTAAAAGTGAGTTGACCGCTTATTGAGTGCCTGAGGCTTTTAATGTGGAAACGCCGACACACAGTCAAGCTGAAAGAATGCTGTTTTCATACAGCTCATAAGAACAAATCAAATTAACGCATTATTATAGACTATAGCCTTCGTTTGTAAAATATGATGCTCTGCTGACAGTGGAGTAGTTCATGCCTGCGATCGGTAATTTCCAGTTTCTTTTATGTGACCTTGCTCACGGCTGGATTGGGAAACCCTGGGTTGATTTACCGAGTTGATAACCAGCTTCGTGGAAGCCTACGGCTTATCCCGACTGTTAAAAGAGTTAGTTAAGCCAGATAACTAAAATATATCGTGGGTATGTTGAACTCGCTACGTGGTAGCCAACAGGCCCCCGGTGTTGCGGCAAGTCCGACTGCAGGGCGGGTTAGGGTGGTAGGCTATCTTTACTCACACATTGCTCGTAAATCATTTCTGCAGTTCGTTGTTTCTATTTTAAAAAGTAAATGACTAAACTGGTCCAACTGTCGGTGTTTATTTTTAGGTGGCTTATGAAATTGGTAATATTGAATGCAGCTCTTTTAACGTGAGTAAACACAACCCGCAAATATTGGGCTTTAATCTGGTTTCCTACCGCGGGATGGACCCAAAATAAACACTTTGCTGTGGTTTAATTGTTATAAACGGATCAAAATGATGCCGAAATAACTACATAATGATGCTGATTTGTTTAACATATGAATTCATGCTTTGTCAGGTCTGTCAGCAAGATGACAAGAAAACTACTTTTAAAATGCTTCTTTTCTAAATGGAGTTCAGATCGATCAGGGCTGCGTTATTCTAGATTGTTTCATTGCCAAGTACAACAAAAGCCGGACTCAAGTAACGGTAACAGACAGATATTTTGTGAACTTACCAGAAAGTTCAGCTTCCTCTATTTCTTTTCTGCAAGCAGTCTCCTGTTTCTGTGGCTCTCTGCAGCAGACAGCTTGAGAAGCGCGAGCCAAGTTAAATACACTTTTTGATACCCAAGATCAAAATTACAAAGTTCATTTCATAAAAGTGGTTTAAAACAGGAAGAGAATATACATGCCTCGAATGTCCTCAAAAAGTCTAAAAATACATTTCTGATTCGTCTTTGGAGACGTGTCACGTACCATTTAGTCGCATTTTGCTTTGCTGTTTGTGACGGAAAACGCTGAAAACTGAAAGAGGGGGAGTTGATCTTCGTGTGAAAGTCTAACGTTTTCTCTAATAAATGGTCCAAACACACATATTCCTCTTTGGAGTCTTTGTCATTTAGCCCTTCAAAATGGTAAAATAGGGAAAGAAATGGATGAATGGATTTTCTTTTTTTGTCTCATGGTCATCGTTTTGTCCTTTTATGTAAATGGTCTAAGGGATATGTATAAACCAGATAAAAACGACGCTGAAGTTAGCTTCCGATTGGGCAGTTAAGGGGAAAGTTAAGGGTAAGTTAAGTGAAGGTAATTTACGTTGCTGTGCCACCGAATCTCCGTTTTTTGCACCTCTTACTGCTGTGAAAGCATTTTAGGCAAAGCCTTAACGCTGTCTGAAACACTTCTGAAAAACTTTATTTTATTTGTGAAAATGAAAAAATGGGTAATTTCACTGTTTTTTTCGCATGAAGACCACATTAGACCAGGTCCAGATCCAAAACCACTATACCTAGAGCTCTCAAATCTGGACTAGATTACTCCAGAGAGACTAAAGTTTCAGTCAAATATAGTTTCAGACTTGTGAAACCTTTATTCAATTTGTGAAAATACTTTAAAGGGCAATATCACTGCCGTTGTCACATGTAGACCACATTAGACCAGGTCCAGATCCAAAACCACTATAACTAGAGCTCTCAAGTCTGGACTAGATTGTCCCAGAGAGACTAAAATTTCAATCAAAACATAGATTCAGATTTGTGAAACTTTTTATTCAATTTGTGAAAATGCTTTAAAGAACGATTTATCTGCTTTTTTCACATGTAGACCACATTAAATCAGGTCCAGATCCGAAACCACTATACCTAGAGTTCTATTTCATATAGGCTTCACCCTCTAAGGCTATCGCTATTGGGTTTTCCCCTTGCAAGCACCACTGAGAATTTTAGTCTACGCCCACCCACAGTGTGGGCCTCTCCTACATCCGCACCTTATACACACAACGGTGAGAGCCAGCCTTCGGGTCAGCCGACCAGGGAGACCCCGTGTGTGTCATGAGTTGTAGTTTTTGCCATTTGTTTCTGGTGTCCTTCTGTTTTCCTGTTCTTCTTGTTTCCTTGTCCTTAGTGTTTATGTCTTGTCTGGTGTTCTAGCTCGTAGTCCTGTGTTGTTTTGATATTGGTTTGGTAGTCTACTTGTTATATTGTTTCTTAGTCACTGCCTTGCTCTTGTTCCTGCGTTTTAGTTCTTTGTCCTTGTTCCCAGTCCTGTACCTTAGTTCATGTTAAGTGTTCACTCTGGTCTGTTTTGTGTTCAGTAACCTGTGTTCCATCTGTTCCCCCAGTTGTCACTCTGCCTGCATGTCAGTCTCTCTATTCTAATGTGGAGCAACGTGTGCCCACGTTGCTCCACATTAGCTGCGGCTAATGACATCTAGCAACCAGTTTCCTTGCTGCTGGCTGACCCTCGTCGGTCAGAGCGGACCACTGGTAAGCTATGGGTCAAAAAAAAAGCTGTGTGAAATCTTGTTGCTCCTTTTGTGGAAGTTGTTGAATAAATGCTGTCTGTGTCTGTCTCAGTCGAACCAGCCACACCAAGCACACATTTCCCACACTGTGTGAGCCAGCTGCCGTTAGGCAAGTGGCTAATGTGCAGCTTGAAGCTCAAAGCAACAAGCAGTACACTCTGTTCATGATCAGAGGTCCCTTCACACACCCCTCCCCACAGAAACTGTATCAGCCCACGACAGCGGACATTCGCTTCGTGTGAACAGAACATATATACACCCGGTACAGATATTTTTCTGACGAAGAAATCTGACATTATACACGTTCCATGGGCAGGGTCTGGCTGCGAGCTCGTGCATAATCACGGCATCAATGGCACGGTCCTTCTGTGCGTCCAGGGGTTCCCTCCTGCATGGCGCCGTGTGTTGGCGCTCGTGACCCTCCCTTCCCCCGCCAGGTGCTAAGCTCTCCTGTTCGGTGGAACACGGAGATTGCTCCCTGCCAGGCGCCCCCACGGCTGACATCCCCGCCCTTTGAGGGGGCCCTTCCCCCATGGGTCGTGGTTGGGCACCCCCCAAACCATGACAGCGGCAAGGGCAGCAGAATGGCTTCCCATCAGGACCACCAGGGCACCTTATCAGCAGGTCCGACCGCTTTCAGAGACGGTACTTGGAGTGGCTCGCTTCCTGCTTGATGCACAGATGGATGGACAGCCTGATCCGCTGGGATCACAGGCTGCAGTTCGCCCCTGCGTCTGTACAGCTGCGGGGCCCCCTACCCAGTTTCCCAACTTACGCATGGGTAAAGTTAAAGTATTTTCACAAAAAGAATAAAGGTTTCACAAATCTGAAACTATGTTTGATTGAAACTTTAGCCTCTGTGGGACAATCTAGTCCAGATTTGAGAGCACCATGTATAGTGGTTTTGGATTTGGCCCTGGTCCAATGTGGTCTTCATGCGAAAAAAGCAGTGAAATTACCTATTTTTTCATTTTCACAAATAAAATAAAGTTTTTTCAAAACTAAAAAAGTGTTTCAGACAGCGTTAAGGCTTTGCCTAAAATGCATAACAGCTTTCACAGCAGTAAGAGGTGCAAAAAACATAGATTCGGTGGCACAGCAACGTAAGTTAA